GGCCGAACACCAAATCCCAAAGTCCGTCTTTTTAAATGGCCAGAAGATGAACAGCTGCGAAAATCATGGTACGTTCTCTTTCTACCTTCAGATCACGCATAATTTTATCTTTTATTCAATAGCTTCTGAATAATACGAGTCAAGTCTTATGTGCCTTGTGTGCCAGTGCCCGTAATGCTAACAGAAGTCGAATTGTTTGGTTCTTCGGTGCCATTCGAGGTTGATAAATGGAACCATTATTAAATTCGACGAAATTAAATTCAAAACTTCCTTTCGACCTCTCCGTCTTTTCCAGAGGCCTGAAGCTCGGAGCTTTTGATCTTGTAAGCTACTCGACTCAGCAAGGGGAGATGCTCGGTCGGGTAGCTGAAGAAGAAGAAAAGGTCGAAACGTTGGGATAATTAATAAAGGTTCCACTTATCAACCTCGCGCGGCACAGAAGAACTAAACAATGCCAAGGTTCCAACAAGGGATAACATGATGGCTGACAAAGGTCATTCTTATTCGCTTTCAAATCCCATGGTTTCGCAAGTAAAACATGCTTCAATTCTTTTCAATGCTAACTGGTACTCTACGTTGTTGGTAAAACTTGGGCCTCGAACGCAAATTGTCAACATTCATGGTGGGAAAGGAGAGACTCAGAGGCATTTTCAACCTATTTTATTAGGTTTTGCTATGTTGTTTCAGGTTAGCATTCTTTCACCTCGATATGGATTTTCTTGATGACTGTAAAGTGCCATATATCTGCAATACTCACTTTGATGCCAACCAGTTTCTCTATGAAGGCAACAGAATTTTTTGGAAACGTGACCCATTTCCAAGGTACCGTCAGCGTCGTAGTGTGTTGGCTGAGCCGTTTCCTTGGGAATTGGAACAGAATTTTGAGAAGAAGGTTGGTTGTACTTTCTTATTCGGCTACCTTTTTTAATCGAAATTTCCATATAGCTTCAAACGCATATGGATGTGGTGTGATGTCAGTTGTTGTTAATTGCTAGGTTCGAGGTAATTTAATTTGACGGTGGTGGTATGCTAGTTGATGAGCACTCTTAAGCCTTTAGATTGTGAATATACTTCAAAATTAGTACTCTCCAGTTGTCTCTTAATAAAGCGCCACGCTGTATGCCGAACTGAATTCTTACATCAAACGAGGTTGTTAAATAGAATGGCCTTGGCCGTCATGTACCCCCTTCCGGGTGTGTAGGAGGTTATCATTCAACGTCGTTCCTCATTATACTGACTTTTTGCTGTTATTTTTCCTTTATGCACCTTGCACTACACTTTAACGAAAATAAACGCCTTTTTGAGTTTCTTATGTCAACGGCATTTCCCCTCCAACATGTGCATAGCTCTTCAGCAACCGTCCGAAAGCATTAGATGTGTTCGATTAAAACATGGCGCAACTCATGGACACAAAGTGACATTTCGGGAATCTTTCTTCAAGAGCAAGGTTTTTCCTACATTTAATTTCTGAAACTGCTTTATTGCCATTACTTTAATGCACTCCAATTTTATGTTGCAGTCGAAGTCGTCCCATCCAGTCGCTGTTGTTTCTTTGCCAGAAAATCCGAATATTTTCTATGAATTCTCCTATACAAGGACGTCGACCAAAGACGCCAGCAAATTTTACTCATGCCTCACCTGTAGGCGTGCAAAGACGGACAGTGAGTGTAAATTGGGTCGAAATATTTTTTAGAGGTAGCAGTATAGTTAAAGATATTATGAAGCTCTAAGGCCTGTTCGCATACGTTCTCGTTGCGGGAAATGGGACGGGTCAGTTGAATGGAACATCACTGAGCTGCTCCAGCGAAATGCACTTAGAGTCAAAATGAAGAGCTAGGTAGTCACAAAATATCGCGATTCGTAACTATATGGAATTTTCGAACCCTTCGAGTCACTTGAGTCAATTTATCTCTAGTCATTAGTGCATTCAAGACTTCTGTTTTGCTGATCTGCGACAATGTTGCTTGTTTAGCACGGGTCAAAGATGTAATCCGCACCATTCATATCAAGGATGGCACAATTCGAAGCCGTGGTGATCCATTCTGGGGTCACCACTTCGCCTGCAGGCCATTCACTTCTTTAGCCACGTCGTTAGTAAATTTCCTCCATTGTATTTCGATTGGACTTCTTGTCAGTGTTTACCATAACTTCCTCAACACAGCATTCATCGAATAAATGGCACATTCTATTCAGAAGTCCTGTGCGTCCGGATACCTCTCAAATTGATTACGTGGAGTACAGTGGAGCCGATGAGGAATTTCTACGCGAACACGACCAGGCAGGAAGCCGCTGGGGTAAATTTGTCAGATTTCAGGAAGCAAGCACTGAATAGCATTTACTTTAGAGGAAGGCTGCTCGTCCATAGAACAGACGCCCTTCATTGCGGCTAGTTCGAAAATTCCAGAACTCATCGGTAGTGGAGTAAAAAGGAATTATGTAAGTACCACCCAGTTTTTTTTATTTCCCGCACGAGAGCTTTCTGGCGAAGTGCTCATTGTCTAGTTATCACCTCCTTTCGTGGCTCTAACAGCGCCACCAATGAGCTGTTTTCGAAGGGTAGCTCTGTTCACAGCTATATCCTTTTCAAGGGCCTTCCCATCCTTGACAAAATTGCAAGAGTATTATTGGGTTGTCTTTCATAATTCCGCCTCAATTTCGACCTTTGGTTTGAGTCAATTTTATTCTTCTTCTTTGAACATCATTGATAAACAGCCTAACTACCATCGTGTCACTGATACTTGTCCACTTGGCTAGAAAAGATTTGGAAGCTTTGCGTCTAGAATGAGTGAAGCTGGAAGTTGAAGAATCTGAAAAGGTCGTTTTCTGGGGTGGTCGTAATCTTTAACTTTATCTCTGGCAGATGCTGACTCATGGAGCAGGGGAGGCGACTGTCCTAAAGGCGATGCCAGTGCTATATGGTGATGGATGAGGTATCGTGGCCTGGACGTCTCTCTCATAAACATGGCGAAGCCGGCATTTGTCGGTGCAGGTCGGGGCTTCATTGGGAGAAAGGAGATTTTGAGACATTTCTGACGATTTCCTCGCAATACCGAAGCCGGCCTAGAGGGCCATTCTACGCTGGCTTTCGCAATGTTTGTCTTCATCGTTGGAGTGGTTTCCAAACCAGGCCACGGCCACCTTGCGAATACAACAGATCGAGAGTAATATTCTCAGAATTCGGAGTTCGGGCTTTGGTTGAGCTGGTGCTTCCTGGCTGCGAGGTAGCCATCAGGCGAGCCGCGTGTTGTTGTCGCAGTGGACTCATGACTCATTCCACTGGTGACCGATTAGGGAAGGCTCTGCTTTTGCCGTCGCAGAATGAATTTTTCCCATATGGTCAGGCGTGCTTCTCGCTCATGGTCGGCTGAAGCCATAAGGTTTCCATCATGACTTCATTCTGAAGCAGCCCTTTCCATACTGATGGCGTGTGCTGATGCATCGGCTGCGCCCAGGTAGTCTGCTACAATATCCTGGTAGCAACGACCGGATGCACTCCAAATTTTATTGGTGCGAGGCCATCATCAAAGGTACCGCAGGCGCCAGTATGAGGGTCAAACTTCGCAAGCTGGTTTCGTCCTTGCCGTTGCGATTACCACTAGTTCAGGGACCCTGTCAGTGGCAGAGACTGGGCCGAACACAGCGCAAAGCTTCACTGCTGTCCTCCTTGCAATAGGGTCCATTGAGGATCGCAAAGCATAATCATTCATTATTGTCGGCCTGACTTTTTTTAATCGTAGATTGATCACCCGCGCTATGGGTTTGCTTCTTCTGAACCACACTGCTTGACTGCTTGTAGCTATACTTGAACATATGTAAAGTAGTAGTTTTTCCGCAGTGAAAGAGGTCTTTAGCACGGTAGAAATTTGAAGTAGAATAGAAATGGACAGATTATGAGACCGCTCACCAATACCTTGTCTGCTTCAAGTCCGCCCGCCCTCTGTCTCCTCCTTGCCTTTGGGGTTTCGTGCTGCGAGTCGTTTATATTGGTATGCGGCACAGTGTGCTATCATGGAAGGGAATACAGGACGTCACTGGTAGAAACAAAAGGCTCTCCCTCATCCTTAGGGCATCGCACCTCTGAGCGTGTCCATGTGATTCTGCACAGTTTTTGAATTACACGGTAACTTAAAGTTACAAGTAAAGTTGACAGTGTAGTAGGAGCTTTAGGGTCGTGGTTATTAGCATATCGTATTATTGTAGCGACGTCTCTATGACATGTAACCAAGCGAACAAGTACAATATAGCAACCTCTTGGTCACACGTTGTTTCATCCAAGCGGACCATGCTCTTTCTCAAAAACCTTCCAGTCCATTCGAATAATTTAAAATTTCCACAAGGAAAACTGGTAAATAATGAGTGCTTCGCTGTTTGGTTCTGCTGCACTATCCTGTGCTTATAGTATGAAGACCACAACCGCGTTTTTTACCAACTCTTTCAGCTCCATGAATCTGGAAGTTCAGCCAGTTTCGTCAACAGTACCCCGTATAGCATGAAAACTTCAACTGCATGGTTTGTAAAACAGGTCTGTAAATTCATGTTCTGGTGAAGTTTGTGGTTTTATGAGATGCATTAATGAACACAATAGGATTTTTTACAGAAGCATTCTTCTATGCCTCATAAATTCCTGACTTGACCCGCACATACAATGTTAACTCTTGCCAAAGGTTTATTGTTTTGTGGGATTCTTGCACAGTCAGTTAAAGGCAGAATTTACGATGAAAAGTTAGCTCATTGGAAATAAGGGTAGAGGTGGTCAGTGGAGCAGGGATGAAGAAGAAACCATTTGAAACGGCCCGAAACCCGAGAAATGGGACCCCTTCCTTGCCCGTTGATTTGCGCATTGATGCGACTCTCATCGCTGTGCCCTCTTCAACACTACGCTCTCTCTGCTATCTAATCACTCGCCACGTATAGACCTGCGGCGAGTGATTAGACGGTGGGCGTACCCCGCCAACCGCGCCAAGAGTGAGCCATGCTAGATCGCCGAGGTCAAATCTTTCGCTGCCAATTGCGCGTCGGTCAGCACCCTCAGGAGGTCCGCCTGTCTCCCAACTATGCAATTTTCCCCTTCTTTGACCTTCGTTCTTATCGTGAATTCCTCCTTCAATGTCATGACATTGAACTGCATTTCAATAGAATTTGCGAAAGGTGCGCATGCTAAAACGTCCCCCTTGCTTTTTCAAGATTTGAGAAGCAGACAACCTTTCAAGATGATTAGATGCGCACTCACTGACAAGAGCTTCTACAACAGTTTCTTTTGATTGTCTTCCTCTCATGACCACCAGACAATATCGAAAAGAAAGCCGAGCAGGGTATCAAATTATTTATCAACATGAAACCTCTCCAGCCATTTTGGAACTTTTATTCCCTTGAAACAAAGCAATGAAAGTTCAGCATTGTTACAAACACGTACTTACAACACGAGAGTTCCAGACAGTCTAAGCACCGTGACAGAATACTGCTATTCGTGATAGATACACTTTTAGATGTATTTGATTCCACCACTATTTTCTTGAAATAACTATTTCAGCGTCGATCTCGGAATTTACCACGTTGTCACCTTTGTCATCGAGTTCTGCCTTCAACAGTACTTCTCGTGCAACATTTACTGCGGCATGTAAAATCCACACCAAAATGTCGTTGCTGCCGAACAAAGTCGGTTACCCTGTCTACTTTAATATGAGAAATCGCTCACAATCAAAACCAGTTTAGAGAAGAAACTTTCGCCAATATAGCATTATTTTAATCATAGATAACTCTTGAATAATTCAAAAAGTTACGACTGCTTAATACAATGGACTTCTTTAACAATTATTCTTATTTCAGAATATCACCGGATGCTCCAATACGACTACGACGGAAGAGAATATGCTCGTCATGTCACATAAAAAGGTTTAATAGAAAAAAGCTCACATAAATTCTTTAAGATTCATTGAATACTTCAGTTTTAACCGTAATTTGGAAAACACGTGATCGTATGACCTGCCAGATTATGAGATGAGGGTAATGAGATGTCGTTCGAGTATTTAATAGCTGAAAGCCTTCATCAATTACATGGTTCCGCTAGTCGTACCAGCAAGTCCAGGAGCGCGCCCATCGCATGCGACTATTTTGACACTAAAAATGGTCACTTAGAAGATCATACGATAAAATAGATGAATGATGACCAGTCATACGTACCGATCCACAGTACGATCAATTGACCGATGTACATCTCGGAACTCGACACCGTTGATCACAAACGTCCACACATTATCACAATATCGGTATGTGACCAATTTGTCAGCTTTAAATTGGACCTGAAAGATTACTTCGTATTGGAAAAAGTGTAGTGTCTCACTTGTACTTCGTATTGGAAAGACTGCAATGTCTCAATTATTCATGATGAAATTGCTAGGATGAGCTAGATTCCGAAACCAATCAAGACAGAGGAAATCAATTCAGTGAATCATGAAGGTCATGTGTATTTGTCAGTATCACCATCTTCAGTTCTATTTGATTGAACATCAAGATAAACTATGAGGGCACAACTGACATGAACCTCATGGTTCATGTCTCATCGGTCCAGCCCTTCCGCCAGGGGAGGATGAAAGAGGCTGACTTCGCTCCAGGGCGTTCAGCTTCTTGAGTGATCTCGCCTAGACGACGAACGTGTAATCAAAGGAAAGTCAGCTTCAATCATAGAGAGCCCACCAAAACTCATTTATGTTTATGCTTGTATTCGTTGCAGAATAAGAGCATAGAAACCAGTTTCTCGCCTATATGTGAATAGTACGCAGGAAAACCTTGCTCACCTTATTTTTCACTCGATATGCGAGTGCTTTATTTATATTCTTATCGAAGGTTGTGAGTACTTTCATTGCAAGTGGGCGAGTTATAAGGCCTTCTTCGACGAATTCATCCAAAGTGCGACTTAGGGCCGAGCCCAAAGTCGTTTCTCGATACATCATGTACGCCATTGTTCCTGTGCGAGTACCTGTGAACAAGAAGAGCATGTTTTTTTTCCAAATCTAAAAGTAAACTCAGATAACTGAAGGTTCAGCCTTTTGATCGAAATTTCGACAGTTTGA